GCTACTGCTGCCCATTTGTGCTGAACTGACAGCATTTTCCTTCAAATTCAACCAGAGAACACATACTTTTAAATACTTTATAAGCCTGTACATACCAGTGAACAGAAACATGTTTTATCAAGCTACTGATTTTTAATTATGTTTTGGATGGTGAGCTAAATAAATACATGTGAACACAAACCAGAATCCATATAATTATACATAGAGCTACCCACCCTCCAAACAACTGACCCCTGTATGTTTAAAATAGTAAAAAAAAAAAAAATTAAAACTAAGAAAAAATACTTACCTCAGATGGAAGCAGTGGCTGTGGATTTCGATTGGAGGACTTAAGGAGAACAAAAAAAAAAACAACTTAATATGTTGAACATTTTAAAGTTGATGCAATGAAGGTATAATAATTTTATAATGCTAAAACTTACCAAGAAACAGTTTAGAAAATGGGTAATATTGATGGACATAGTTTGAAGTGTCGCTGCAAAAAAATAAAAAATAAAATAAAATAAATAAAAAAAGATATATATAATAATGATAATAATAATATTAATAATAATATACCGTATTTACCCATGTATAAGCCGCACTTTTTTTCCAAAAAAATCGTTCCCAAATCGGGGGTGCGGCTTATCTACGAGAAGACTTGTAAAAATGCCGATAAAAACTAATTTGCATAAATTAGCATTCATGGTGCTACTTACTGCAGACGTGATAAGTTTGTTTTACACGGCGGGAACAGAGAAATTTTAATTCAAACTTCTCAGTATTACTATAAATTCTCCGAAAATCTAGCTCTGAGAAACACAAGTCAATAAATCAAACTGAAAAGTGCGTGGTTATTGAGCTAAATGAACAGAGAGCATTTTCAATCGTTTTGTCTTGGAGTTGTTTTGGTAACGCGATGCTAATTTGCATTGTTCATTTAAGCGACTTYGTCAAACTTAAAGTGAAGAATCCAGGGTAAATATTTTGAATACCCAAGAAATAAGCCTAAGAAATTGTTCYTTATATTAAACAAATACAATCTGTTTTAATATTTTTGAAATAYGAAACGGTTTCGGCATATCCTTATGTTTAGAAGTTTGGCGGCACGATGAGATTTATATCACTCAAGTTAATTACTAGTTTACTTTTGCCTTTTGAATGGAAAACAACTCT